GTGCAGGAACAGGTTCAGGGACAGCGAGATGTCTCGTCGTTTGTTGTCTTCATTGATAAGCTTATTGCTAACTTCAGCAATCGTTTTGATAGCTTCAGCATTGGCCAGCAGCTCACCATGTTCATTCAGAATCCATTCCTCATCACAGATGTCAGGAGCTTCTCAAAGGAAGCCACACAGCATTTTAAATGGGTCAATGCCAGGGATCTTCAGATGGAGTTAGTTGACCTCCAAGCAAACTTGGACTGACCCTTCCTCATTCTGGCTCCAAATGGTTCCTGAGACAGCTTTCTCACATCTAAAGAAAGTAGCCTTGTACATCCTGACCATGTTTGGTTCCACCCACAACTGTGAGGCAGCGTTCTCCACAATGAACATTATAAAAAACAAATATCGTTCCAGGCTCACCAATGAGCATCTCCACACATGCATGAGGATGGCTCTGTCTCCATTCAAGCCCAGATTCAAAATGTTGGCAGGACAAGCAAGAGCTCACTTCTCTCACTAAGTAAAAATGTGGAAAACATTAACCTAAATATATGTTCAGTTATTACATGTGTGCAAAGTCACATTTTTTAAAATCATTTTAAGACTTTTTAGTTCGCACGTGAAGAGGAAAAATGTAAAAAAATTAAGCTTTTTCTACATTTATTCTGAAGTTAGTAGTTTGTGAAGATTCAGTTGCCATGTGTTATTTTCTTGTTGACACTTTTTTCTACTTTTATTTAGTAAATGAGAGAACATTCCAAATAAATCATTTACATGTTCAACACTTTAAGTGACAATAAATGTCATAAGTATTTGAATTACACTGAAGTATTTCTGATTTGATATGCAAATTAATAATGCAGATGTTGATAAAACTGCTAGGATACTTAAATACATGTCACACTATTGTAGGTCGGACATAATGATCTTTCGGACCTTGGGCTAAAAAAATTCTTTCTGACTGGACCTTTTTAAATAGTATTTGTATACCCCTGCTTTATATAGTAAAATCAGAAGTAAGATTTCACATAACTCTAGCAGCACCTTGTGAAACATCATATCTATCGCTTTATTAACTCTGAACCGCTCAAATAACCTTAATTCCCTCCAACCTGACACAGCCAAACAAAACAACGGAAGTTTCGATTTCGCCATGGAACAGAACGCTTAGACGGCTTTGCCGCTTCCGCGGATCGCCTCCCGTGTGTCGGGTAATAAAAGCGACAGCGACTGATTTCGCTGATCGCTGTCGTTTGTCGCCTCCCGTGTGTCAAGCCCATTAGTGTTGAAGCTGATTTGACCTGGAAGTATGTAATGTCCCATCTGCAAGACTTTTGCAAAAAATCACTCTTAAAAAATTGTTGGCATATATCATTGATGGTCGATAAATTCACCCACTCACCTAACCATTTTAAGGATAAAATTGTATAGTTTAACACGTTCAAGGGTGTGTGACATGTTTATTTCATGGGACAGAAAAACCATGATGAATTTGGGAATTAAACTGGAGGAATACTGGCAAGAAATCCGCTACCGAAGGAAAAAGGATAATCCAAACGACACCGTACCAGTGGAAGATACCATGTGAGTACTGTTTTGTGAATTATGGGGTTGATCACATTCAAACTGCTCTCATACACCTGCTCCATGAAGAAAAAATCTTGGTTGACACAAAAGCTCTGAACATCATGTGGTCGTTGAAGAGCGGTGCATTTCACCTGATCTTCCTTTGATGACCTCTCTGGAACCCTCCATGTAAATTAGGGATGCACAATATACTAGGGGTTGTATGAACTAGTCGACTAGTCAACTAGTCGACTTCACCGCTCTGTAGTGACTTTTTATGCCTGTCATAGACTAGTCTCTGTCATGTGATAATGACCGACAAGATGCAGTCCTCGGAAAAGACAGCAGGTGACGAACCCCTGCACGTCGGGAGGCGGAGGCGACGCGCTGTGCCAGAGCGTCGGTACTGACACCCGCTGTAAAACGAACATTTAACCAAATTGTGACCTTTTCCCTTTTGCAATTTAACTGCCCCCTCACCCCCATCCTAACCTTAACCAGCTTGCGCATGCAAAGCTCTGATCGTTGACGCACTCCAGACATCTGCGTCCTGAGCACGGCCACAGTAACATTATCAAATCAGGTGTCACCACCTCAAAAACAGATTTAACACGCGATCGTTCATGTCGGCTCATTTCCTTTTATGTTTTCTGTCTTTTATTTGTGCCTGATGCTTTTCACTGCTGTGTAGCGGGGCGCATCACCTGTTTTGTCCTCCTGTGATGCACCTCACTGATGCAGCCGGCGAGCAGCTCGCACTCCGCTGTTCTGCGTTCTGTAGATCTTTTAGAACTGCAGTTCAAAGGTAACTTATAAGTAGGGATGCACCGATACCAATACCAGTATCGGTAAAAGTTAACCGATACCAGGAACCGATACCAATGCAGTTGCTTGAAAATGGCTTCACTGTAACTTGTCATTTCTGTTCACCTAATATTTTAGTTTTGTGATGATTTCCATTCATATATTTTACTTTTTATCTACCTCACAGTCTTTTCCTGTTGAAAGAAGAGAAGAAAATAAAATCTGTATTCCAAATCATTGCATTTTGCATTTTTTTTGTGGTGGAAGTATCGGTATTGGTAATCGGCGAGTACTCAGATCCAAGTATTGGTATCGCATCGGTTTGGAAAAAAGAGGTATTGGTGCATCCCTACTCATAAGGTGAATATATATGAAGGCAGGTAGCAGTTTTTCTTTAGGATTGAGAGGAGATGCAGGAAGATAATAAACAGACAGGACAGAAAAAATAGTCAAATAAAAACAAGTTAGTTTTTGTACCTGGTAGTTGCAACAAACAGACACCATTGAAGGTAATCAGAAGTGAGGAACAGAAAATGAAATAATTATTTTAAAGTTTAGAGCAGCAGGAACTCTGAGAGGCTGCAGGCGTATCAGTGAGTTTGCGGCTGCTGCGCAGGGGGAGGGGGAGAGGGCTGAAGCAGAAACTACCGTTGTTAAGAGATATTTAACTTTGAAAATGTGGGCGCAATTTTAATTGTCAAACTCTAGCGAACCAAACGACCCCCCCTCCCCCCCGGCGCCGCTTCAGGTGTATGACGTCATCAACGACTAGTCAAAGTCGACTTGATTTTCATTAATTGACTGTCGACTTTTTAAAAAATTAAGTCATGCAACCCCTACAATATATTGACATCAGTGTCAGCCAATGTTGGTCATTTTTTAACATACTGCTGTCTGTCCAATAAGGAACACTGGGCCGATATTAACCAAAGTTAATTTCCATCTTGTTATTTGCACGAGTGTTTTATAAGGAGTTATTTGTTTAAAGGTGTAATGGTGTTAGTGATGCAGCTCTGGATTGTGCAGGTGCTTAACAGAAGCAGAGATTCAGTGTAGGTGGTGTGGTTTCTTTTTACATGATGTCAAAAGTGTATTGAAATATGTTTTATTTCAGTAATATTTGATGTCTACCGTAACATCAGTATTGATATCAGATATTAGCCAAAAATTTTGTATCAGTGCATCCCTAGTTTAAATGGACAGCGTTCCGACACACACACCTACCGCAAATCCCCCAAACAAGTTTATGCTGAACTAGTTTCAACAGTACAAAGCTCCTTTCCCTCTGAGCTCCTTTCCCTATGAAGATTAGATGGTATGGCAGCACTTCTTTCATGTAAATAACAACATTGCTTATCATAGTTAAGCAGCTGACACCCAAATCTACCTAGCTCCATCACCTAGTTACTGTGGTCCTCTAGACTCACTCTGTCAGTGTTTGGAGCAAGTTCTTGACTGGATACAATCAAACGTCTTCCAGTTAAACAAAGACAAGATTGAAGTTGTCTTTGGAAATAAGAAGGATAGGATGGAGGTCATTGCTCAGCTTGGCACCAGAGGAATAAAGACAAAAACTCGGGTTATAAATCTTGGTGTCACAATTGATTCAGACCTGAGCTTCACTGGTCACATTAAGGCTATAACTAGATCAGCGTTTTATCATCTTCATCAAATAGCAAGACTCAGAGGTCTCATGTCCAGACAGGGCCTAGAGAAACTCATTTATGTGTTCATCTCCAGCAGGCTGGACTATTGCAATGGTCTTTTGACAAGTCTTCTCTAAAAAGCTGTGAAGCAACTGCAGCTTATTCAGAATGTTGCTGCTAGAGTCTTAACTAGGACCAAGAGAACCGAGCACATCACTCCTGGTCTTAAATTAATTACAGAATCAATATTTAACTTGTTTCTACTAGAACTGAATGTCATGGAGCCAGAGTACATGTTGGATCTCCTTCCTGTGTGTACACCCAGTAGGGCTCTGAGATCCTTAGGAAGCGGTCAGCTGGCAGAACCCCAGGTCAGAACCAAACAGGGGGGTGCTGATTTTAGCTGCTACCTCATGACTACAAATATGCCCCAACTCTAGTAACTTTTTATTCAAAATTGAAAACCTTCATGTATTCATCATTATTTGAATGACCGTTTCTTATACTGCACCTTCTGCCCTAGAACTGCTCACCCTTTAACTTAGTCTTTTTCTTTTTAACGTTTAAATCTAAATTTCATTTGTGTGTATTTTAATTGTGAATGTTCTTGCTATTCTTGCTAACTGGAAAGCACATTGCATGTTATGTCTCCTTTTAATGTGTTATATAAATAAAGCTTTCCTTGCCTAAACAACTCAGCCTCTGCTTCTCGTCCCATTCAAGGACAAACTCGCCAAAAGAGCTTGTTGTTGTACACTGTGTAAATTGGACATCTTAGCACAGTATAAAGTATTCGTGTGTTCTCTGTTCATTTGTGTGTAACCAAATGTACTCTTTAGGAAGCGACCAGATCAGAATTGGGCCCAGTGTGATGACTGTTTGCGCTGGCGTAAACTTCCAGATGGGATTGACTGCAGCAAGCTCCCAGACAAATGGTTCTGCAAGATGAACCCGGATCCTCAGTTCAGGTAACCAGAGACGTTATGGATGAATCAACATGAACTATTTTAAACAAGATAAAGAAACTCATTACCAGCCAAATCAGTGATGCACAACAAAGAAATAAATGCACACCATCTGTTTTTATAAGATATCAAATTGATTTAAAGCAGACTGGGCAGGAGCGAACCATTAATGAGCCACATTTCTGGTTGTACCTTTGCAGGGTTGAGCTCATAATTTCTAGGTTTTGAATACTTTTTACATCCTACTGAGTTTCTTTTTCTCCTTTCTAAAAGGGGGGCGTAACTTGCCATCAGTGAGTGTGGGGTTAACGTGCCTCCTACAAGCTAATACTGCAGCGCAAACAATTGTAATTAGACGGCGAGAGCTGGGAAAAAACTCCAGAGTTGTTTAAAGTGGTTGCAGTTACCACATTTTACCACAGGATGTTGTTTTTACTTAACTCATTCGCTGCCAGCGTTTCTCGCCCATTTTACAGTTTTTTTTTTTTTTAGAGTGAGAACGTTGTGCGCGCTAGGATGTTCTTTGGTTATATGTGTATGTGTGAGCATGAGGGAGGGTGTGTGTGACTGTGTTTGTGTATGACTGTATATGTCAGGTGGGGCCTTTGACTTCTCTCTTCTCCTGGGACTTCTTTTTATGATATAGATCTTTGTCTCCCCTCCCCCTGCCACACCTGGTGTGGAGTGTGGTGCCTTGGTCTGCCTGAGTGTTTGTGGCTCCCGGGTCAGGGGGTTAAAGATTTTTGGCGTCCGCCTGATCAATCCCGGTGGCTGTCTGGTGGGGTCTGGGTCCCTGGGCTCTGCTGGGTCCCTGGCAGGGGTGGTCGCCCCTGGGTCCACAAAAATAAACAATAATGAACAAGAGTCTGCTTCTAGACCTGCAGAAAGAGAAAATAGAAAAAAAATAGGACACAACAACAATACAACAGGAGCAAGCTATCGCTGCGTCAACTTGACGAAATATACAATCAGCATTGATTAACTGAACAATAACACGATAATAAATCATAGTGCATTTAGAGGCAACGACAGCCTTAAGACGTGTTGAACGTGCCCAAGTCCATACTTATGAGAGCACCATGTGAGCACCTGTGTGTGTACACGCGCTTGTTTATGTAAGGTTTCTCTATAAAAGCGTCCAATAGAGTGTGAGGGACCACAGATCTGCCCCCCAAAGATGTGTAGGAGACGGAGGGAGCTCCGACTCTGTGTCTGGTCAGAATTACAAAGCATTCAAAAACAATAACAAAGTTTTAAGTATCAGGCGTGACATTAAAAGCAGACGCTTTGATGCTCCACCTGAGAGTAAATCTGTAAAGCTTGCCACCAGCATTCAGACATCAATACTGTTTGCTTCACAGCTATCTGGAGCATGAAGAACAGTCAAAAATCCACACGAGAGAGTGTGCAAGTCTTGGCCCAGAGCGGGAGTCCAACGTCGGTAACAGTCCTTAAAATTGAAATTTAACAGAGATCCATGGAATAAGTATCTAATATATAATCTTGTATCATAGGATTATTTGTGGCTTGAGAGATTTTATTAAAACATGTAATTTTGACGTGCACGCGTACATCTCATTTGAGCTTTGAAATTAATTAGGCCCATCCAGATTTTTCTAGGTCCACCCATTTGCTACGTTCTGGCTCTGCTCCTGCTCCTGCCAGATGGGAGCGAGTCAAAAAGGCTGTCCAGTTTGACACGGATCATCTGTGATCCAGCCTACACACCTCAATGTCCTGGAGGTGTACAGGTCCTGTATAGAGAGAAGTATGCAGTCAACGACCTTCTCAGCAGAGCGTACAACCCACTGCAGCCTCTTCTTGTATATACAAGTGCGGGATATTTATCATTTACATAAATATAATTAAACCAAATAAATAAATATATAAAATCCCAACAGTTAGGCTAGAAAAGTCAACAGAGATATGTTTTCAATAATGTGCTAGGTGTTGCAACCTTAGGCAGGACTAAAAACGGGCACAGTTGCTCACCCTGTGTTGACTCCAGTTGGGTTTTGGGAGTGAAGAACCCACCCAATATGGCGGCGATGCTGTTACGCTCTCCAGCACCCAGTGGCGTGTCAATCATGCCTATGAACGTAACGCCCCCAAATTGTTCGGACCATCCAAAATCTACATCGACGTGCCAACAGCCAATCATATTGTGTGACCTCATCGGCAGACAATGTCCCCGAATAGATCTCCTAGCATACTGTTGAGCGGTTACGTAGGTCCGTTTACGTTAGTAGTTATGGTAGAAAATGTGCCAAAAACGACTCGAAAACGTTGAACTATATTTGAAAGGTTTGCGGCGAAAAGAGAAGCTGATTTAGAGCGGAGCAAGAGCAGAGCGCGTCTCGGTGCTGCACATGGACGATGGCATCAACAGGACTCCAAACTGATGAAATGGTGGCTCTCTTTTTTTTTTTCTTGAAAGGCCAGATAACGTTAAAATTCTTTATACAACAGTTAGTTCCGACCGAGTGATTTGATTGTTCAAGAGACTTTCCAAGAGTGCTGATATTGAGCTGTAACAACACTGGGACTGTTCACAAACAGTATCACTCCGCTGTGCGCAGGCGTTCTAACCGCTAATCGTTAACGTTACTTTTGTTAACTCTTGGATATTCACCGACTTCGCACATCAAAGATGGACATATTTCCTCAGATTACATTCGAGCTACAATATGAATGGTCATCAGACTGAGGGAAAGGAAAGCGGACTGAATACATCAGCGCAAACCAGGTGTGCTGACATGTCAACGGCGGACCTCGACGAATTGGAGAAGAGCAAAAATGAAGTCAACACTGTGAGGCAGACAGCCTGGGCTCTGAACTGCTTTCAGACTTGGCTCAATCTAAAACATATCCAGGTGAACTTTCAGCAAGTTGAGAAGCCCGAGCTGAACACGGTGTTAAGGGAGTTTTATGGATCTATCCGGACAGCTAAAGGGGAGCGCTACAGCATCAGCAGCTACCTCGGACTTCGGGCTGGATTGAATCGTTATGTTAATGAGCCGCCGGTGAGCCGCTCATGGAATTTAACGCAGGACCCAGAGTTTATACCAGCTAACAATGTTTTCAAAGGAGTCATCAAAAAGATAAGAAAGGCAGGGAAGGACACAACAACATACCATCCCCCGATCTCTCCTGAAGACCAGCGCATCTTAAAATATTCTGCAGCTCTGAGTCCAGACAACCCGAAAGGCTTACTAAACAAGGTCTGGTATGATATTCAGTTGCACTTTGGACGCAGGGGGAAAGAGGGGAATCGGCATCTCAAACCTGACTCATTCATCCTTAAATGTGATGACAACGGAGCTAAATATTTTACCATGACGTTCAACGAAATAACAAAAAATCATAAAGACCCCCTGGAAAGAGACAGAGAAAACATGAGGGGCACTATGTATGAGGAGCAAGGAAATGCACTCTGCCCAGTTGCGTCGCTAGAAAAATACCTGCAGAAAATTCCACCTGGTGCACAGGCCCTGTTTCTGCAGCCGAGGAGAGTTACATCACCGGGAGACAGCTACTGGTATAACACTGTTCCACTGGGAGTAAATCAGCTGTCTCAGATGTTACCCAGGATGTGCAAGGAGGCAGGGACACACACGTCATACACCAACCACAGCCTGAGAGCCACGGCCATACAGAAACTGTCCGATGTGGGACTCGAAGCGAGGGAGATTATGGCAGTGAGTGGGCACAGGTGGGATGCTTCAAACAGACTCAAAATACTAGGCTACATCAATTTGATTCATAGATGATGTGTGGCAGAACAAAAAATATACATATCCAAACAAAGACTTGTTCTGTTGCTGAATATCAGCACTGATGTGATTCACGCCTCTGCTGATATTCAGCAACAATGCACTCCCCCTCGTGTGATATTGTGTAATTATGGCTGGGTGACATTATCCGGTGCGTCAGGGGTTGTGCCAAGAAGAGCCTTTCTGCTGAGATTTGCGCCTTCCACCTTCATATTAATATTCCATTACAGGTGGAAACCAGGTGAAACCTCCCTGAGATAACAAATTTCATTTGCAAGTGTGACCTGGTCCAGGAACTCGAGACACCTGAACAATATGGAAAGTTACGCTTAGTTACACGGTACAACAAAGACACAATGACAGAAAGCAGCAGAGTTACATCCTTAAACATTACAGGTTGTAGAAGTGAAGTGTGTACACACACACACACACACACACATATATATATATATATATATATATTTTTTTTTTTATAGGGGCAGCAGTAGCTCAGGTGGTAGAGAAGGGTTGCCTCATGATCGGAGGGTCATGGGTTCAATTCCAGCTCCCGCCAGGGGTATCCCTCTGTTGTGTCCTTGGGCAAGACACTTCACCCAACTTGCCTGTGTTAGTGGTGGTCAGAGGGGCCGACGGTGCCAAATGGCAGCCTCGCCTCTGTCAGACCTCCCCAGGGCGGCTGTGGCTACAAGTAGCTTACCATCACTAGCAGTGTGTGAATGTGAGAGTGTGTGAAAGCGTCTTTGGGTGTCTAGAAAAGCGCTACATAAGTTCAATGCATTATTATTATATATTAGCATCACTAAATCACAACATTTGGAGGATAGAGGGTTGGTTTGCATTTTGCAGGGGAAGTTGGTGCAGCTGAGATTTGTGACCCATCTCCTTTATCCCTAAAATAAATGATGTAGATATGAAACTTGCTTTAGTAGCTCAGAGTACACCTGATTGTGTAAAAACTGACATATTAGCCATTAGAGTCTACTCTTGTAAGCAGAGCATGCCATTTATGGCAAGCTTGGTTTTGAGGTTGGTACCGCCCTATTTTCACCCCAAAAATGACCTTGCAGTAGTGTACTTCACACAGATTGTTCAGACTGCACATTTTATTATGTAGAAAACTGTTTTAATTTTCATTGGGACATCCACATATACAAGTATCAACTCCAATCCAACCATAATAGTTTATTTTTCCACTCCCCATTTTCTTTTTAGGAGCTGTCTTGTAGAAGAGGAGCCAGAGGACTCTGATGATGACCAGCCTTCATACCGCAAGACATATAAACAGCAGTGAGTAAATATATTATCAAAAGGTTGCCTATTTTTTTCCTAAGTGTAATTAATGGTTTAGACTTATTAGGCTTCCTTATGGGAGAGCAAAGTGAAGATAAGATGGCTAGCTGATGATGGGAGTTCTTACCGTAAAGCTTTGCTTCTTACAGGGAGAGGGAGGACAGAAAGAAACAGGAACAGAAAATACAGGTAAGCATCACATTTTCTTCTGAGATTTGTATCAATGGTTTTAAAGCAACCAAACCACTGTTTTTATCTGTTTCTTCTTTTTTTTCCAATCAGCTGGAACTAAAGCATCTTGAAGAGCGTCGCTTGAAGTCATTAAAGAAGCAAGGAGAAGCTTTAGGGCGGCAACATGAAAACCTGGTGCAGCAGCTCAATCAAACAGTACATTAATTTGTTACTAACTCTTGTTTTTAACCTCCTGTCAAATCTTTGAAGTCTTATGTTGTCGATTTTGCAGAGGAACTTACCCTGGTGTTTGTGTTTACACTAATATCTGCCTCATCATCAAGTTTATTCATATGGCACCTTCCACCACCTTTATGGAGACCCTTCATTCTTGTTTTTAATAACAACAGAAGTTAAAGGTCATAAATGCTGCCCTACTTTTACTCTGTTAATTTATTGTGACATTGGTGGGTTGCAGTTTTAACAGGCATAGTTGGTCACTCAGGGGTACATAGTAAACATGAGTAAAGTAATCATAAAACATTAAAATAGGAGGCTTTGTGAACATGTGCAAAATTACTTTAAAAATAGACTCATGGAGAGAATTTGAGCATAAACATTAGTAAATTTTCACTTCACATACAGTAAAGTAACCATAAAACATTAAAATACTTTGTGACATTTATAAAATTAGAGACATATTTTTTAATCACACTTGGTATGTATGTAGTATGATGATCTTACATTTTTATTTCACAGTACGAGTAAAATAATCATAAAACATTAAAACAGGAGGCTTTGTTCGGGATCCCGATAGCCATGGCCAACTGTAAACATCACACACACGGTATGTAGCCTAGATTCTTTTTCAGGTTCTGCTCAGCCTCTTTCTCTTGCTAGGCTCAAGGAGAAAATATGAACGGGTAGATCTTTCCTATTCTTCAGGTATTGTGCAATCAATTATAAAAAAGAAAAGCATTTCAATATAAAACTGGTTTCTGGTTGCCTTGAGAGCCACCTATCAATGTTATAACCTCAGAATATTCTGGAACAATAACATCCTGTCTTTGTTTGTCTGAGAATGAATATTAGCAGCCTGTGAGGGAAGTCTGTAGCCTAGTGAACTAGACCAAATTCTTGCTCTGCAAAGTTTGGTCTAGGAACACTCCACTGGAACCTCTGCAGCCCCTAACAGCATCCTGGCTGGCCAATCACAGCTCTCTAGAGGGGTTTCAAACACATAAAGAGCTGTGATTGGTCCATAATGGTGGGCCAATCATAGTGCTCTATCTGCTTAGTCAACAAATCACAGAGCTTTATCTGCTTTGTGGGCCAATCAGGGCACTCTATACGCCTGGTGGGTGGGATGATGCAACGGAGTGAAACAAGATGGCAACAGCTCGTTTGAAATGCTTTTACATCAATTTTGGACTATTAGAACTTGGGCTTCATTAGAATCAGGAGCAGATAGATGTATTTAAGTGCTTTTTTTTTTTTTTTTTTTTTTTTTTTTGAAAAAATTGTGTTTTCTCCTTCAACTGCGGACCGCCTCATTTAGTTGATTGATTGATTTACCGATGGCTGTTGCCACATTCATTGTCCAGTAGCGGGCGGAGATCATTTGAAAGACAACGGTAGAACCCACCCCACAACCAAGAGCCGTCAATGGAGCGTTGCCAGACTAAATAATACATTTATTTAGTCAGGCTAGGAAGTCTGCCTTTCAATTCATAAATAGGTGACATGGCCAACACTTGGATGATGGATCCAACCATCAGCATTCCTTTTAGTCTGATCTGGGACAAAAGGATAAGCAATCAGTGATGCAAATGAAACATTTAGTTGTTTTTTCCAGTAGAAAAACATCCCTTCCTTGTTGTAAATAGCTTGTGGGAAATATTGCCAAAAACAAAAATATTGGGAAAAGAAAGTTTTCATTTCCAAAGTCCAAAGAACCTTTAATAATAATCTGAAAGGTTGAAATGATTTTTCTTCTGTTTCTGGGTCTTCCAGAGTTGAGCACAGCTAAAACTTATTGCTAACGATAACATTATCACTTGTAAGTCGCTTTGGACAAAAGCATCTGCTAAATACATAAACATAAACATAATTAGCGTCACTCACGAAATACTGTAAACAAAAAGAAATCCGAATTTACTGACAGTTCAATGGACAAACGCGTGAATATGAATATTGTTGCTATCTCATATGTTGTAAAAAAAGAACAAATGCACTTAAAATTATTATAAAGTCAACTAAATGTATAAATGTTTGATTTTTTATTTTACATTTAAACCCACTAATGAATTCACTGAAGACCTGTTATGTACAATGAAGCTCCCTGCAGTAAAAGCAACAAGAGTATGTTTTCAACAATGACCCTCTATTCACCTTTGCTCGTTCCGATCCATTCTCCGTGACAAGGTCCCGTATCAGTCTGTGATCTGCAGCCGGGGGAGTTCTCATTTGTAGGTCAGACTCTGCATACTAAATGGCCACACCCATTGAATGTCCGACTCCGCCCAATATCAGTCTCTGCAGTCCGCAGCCGGGACCTTCTCGATTTGCATGAGAGACTTCAGTCGCAGCTGGGCCAACGTTTACCATGGCAGCTGCAGAGCCAAAGAGGAGGCGTAAATTTGACATCAACTTGTCCTGTTGCTGAATATCAGCACTAATGTGACAAGAGAAGGTGCTGGAATATGTTGCAGAGCGCTCTGGGGAGCAAGCTGCTAAACATTTTAACATTGACCCGAAAAGAATTAGATACTGGAAAAAGCAGAAAATGGATCTAGCTGCAGCAAACAAAAAGGGAGCAAGACTGCCAAGAGGAGGGAGACAAAGGTTAGCATGGAGTTGGACACAAAACTCAATAAACAGACCTAGTGTTTTATAGGTTCAGATAGACACAAAATCCTGTTTTTATTCATGCTACTGGTTGTTTATTTTGCTCAAATTGAAATCTAATTCTGGCCTCCTTCCAATAAAGACCTGAACCAGAATGTGCTTGAGTAAATAAAGGCCCGTGCCCATATTAGAGGATTTACGGTATTCAAATAAAAATGCACTTACCAGTTCGTGTTTCCAAGACAGTGTGCATTTTGAAGTTCCCCATGCTTCAGCAGCTCTTCTTTTACCAGTTAAATTATGTATCCCTCTTTTGCTTGTTCCCATCAACTAATGCTGCTGGCTCAAACCTGTTTGGCTGTGCACTTTCAGTATGTAACATAAACGTATGTTCGGATTCAGAATTTGGATCTTTGTGCTGCTGCTGCAAATTCTTTTGGAGCAGAGTCAGGAACGTTTTCCTTGAGCAACTTCACTTCCGGTTTCCAGCAAGAAGTGCTGTTTTTAGACGGATGAGCTAGGAGAGCCTAGTTGAAACAGTAATAGCACCTTTTTCTCTCAGATATCTTCCTTTTTTAATGAAAATATAAAGTTTAGACCTGTTACAACATAAGGGCTTCAACATGTGTTGAACGTGGAAGACGCACTTTAGTATTATCACAGTCAGAAAAAATGTAGCTCTTAGAAATGGTCCAAAAACCAGCTGCATTTTTTATGTTGTCACCTTCTTCACATCTTCTAAGTTTACAGGTATGCAACAAATAGGATGCATATCTATGTTGATATGAGATGAATTACTGTCCTAACTTCTTTTTATCAACCAAGGTCTCCGTTTACACTCAGAGATCGTGTTTATGAGCGTTTTCATCTCATAAGTATAAATTGATTAATTGAGAAAGCGGTTAAAATGTTTCAATATTAATTACTATTGAACTGGATGTGATTAGAAATAATTTTTTGTGTTTGTTTTCTGTCCAGTCTCCTTCCACTCCATCTACGTCGAGGAGTAGGTTACAACGAGGGGGCGCTGTCAAGGCAGAGTCCTCTCCGACCCCCACTAGTTCACACACTGGTAAGTAAAGAAAGACTTCAAAGCAGGGCTATTCAATTCCAGCCTTAGAGGGCTGGTATAGAGGACGTTTTGGGTTTAACCCTGCTTCAACACCCCTGATATCAATTAGTAGGTGATTAACAGGCTTCTGCAGAACTTGATGAGCTCCTGCACAGTAGATTCAACCACTGAATCTAGTGTGTTGGACCAGAGAAACCACAAAAACGTGCTGGTTACAGACCCTTGAGGCCCAGAATTGAATAGCGCTGCTTTAAAGGGTTGAGGGAAAAACGTTGATGTGATCAGATGTTTTATCCCTTTTAGGGAGCCCCGTCACCCCCTACCGTAACACTGGACTTCCAGTCATTACCAATGTTTGTTCCCTGTCAGTGGAAGCCCAGAGGTATGAAGCTTCTGGTGTTTAATTTAACAATTTCATTACAACATAATTAATAAAAATCGTGTTTATTCTGGTCAGGGGAAAACGACCTCAGCCTGTTACTCCTCAAGGTACGCCAAAAAGACCAAGAAAAAATGGCTTCTGTCAGAACGCCTCAACTGGAGATCTGAGCTGGAGGTCCTCCTCTGTGCCTGTAGATGTAGATGATGATGCTGATGATGATACTGATGATACCGATGATGATGATAACGATGACGACAATGATGAGATTGTCATCGTGGAGACATCAAGTACCCCCAAGCCACAAAAGCCTGCTCCTAGCATTGCTAAAATCAAGAAAGAGGAGGAGGCGGCAAGTGAGTTGGCGACCTCCATGTTGTTAGAATGCACCGATGATGCAGCGGTGGATTTCAGTTCAGAGGATACCGCCGCAGGTCCGAGCACGCAGGTGATCAACAGCTCCACCCAAACAGCAGCTTCCAAAGTAAAACTAGAAACAGAGAGTCAAAGCCAACCTGGAGGGAGGGAGAAAGGGTGCAGTAACAATGGTGCCATGTCAGACAACACAGACACCCCCGTCCTCCAGCAGCAAACGCTTAAGCAGGAGAACGGGGAATCCAGTCAGAGTGGGAATCGAGGAGAGCAGTCTTTGTCCAACGGAGTGACACACATGGAAAATGATGAAATCGCTGAACCTTCATATGCTCCCCTTTTCGCTGACATCTCTGTGGTGCAGAAGCAGCAGGATCAGCTGCTGGAGCTCATGCAGGACACGGCTCAAGAGAGGGACAGTTTAAAAGAGGAGGTGCAAAGACTTAACACCCAGCTGCAGGAGCGGGTCAGCGTAAAGAGCGAGTGCTCTCATCAAGCCTGCCAAACAGAAGTCCAGAAGGACTACAGAAGTCTCTTTGAGAAGGCCAAGAAGAAGGTTCACGATTTGGTGAAGGACAAAGAGTTTTTATCAAACGCTGCTGACATCAGTACCGGCGCTAATGCTGCTCCAGGTGAAGAACCAGATGTCCAAGAGATTTCTCTGCAGGTTGGCGGTCTAGTTCGTGAACTGGATCAGAGACAAAAGAAGATGGATGAACTTCGCTCCAAGGTTAGGGTCCCAGCTTTGATTGGGGCTGAATTTAGTTATTGAACTACTCTTGAGTGCAGATGTCCTAAATTCTGTTACTGCTTTCTAAAGCTGGTCTGCTTTTCTGCCCTCTTGGGTGTTTTTTTTTCTCTGGCTTCACCAACAGCTGGTCAGTCTGGAGGAGGAAAAGTCGGCTTTAGCGGCCCAGTGTGAAGAGCTCAGGTCAAGTCTGCAGCAAGAACGGGAAACCGCACAATCAGAGGAGGCTGGAGGCTCAGCAGGCTCTGGCTCAACGTCAGAGGACCACGAAAGGTTGGACTGCTGGCAGATCACTTATTTCATGTAGGTTTTAAAGTATGTTTTTTTATTTGTTTAGATTTAAACGTGCCTCTTTATTTCCTCGTTCCTATAGTTTGATCAGGCTTCGAAAGAACGTTGGGCGTCTTCTCGTCTCCTACATCCCAGATCTGGATTTGGAGCAAGTGAATTATGATTGTACCGTCATCGATGAGATCCTGGAGCAGTATGTTAACGATGGTTGTGATGCTGCTATTCCCCTGTTCAGCTGAAGAGAACTTCACAGGTGTTCTGTAGTTTCATAAGAACGTCAGGTCCGTCTGGTTTGAGTTTTCAGCTTGTACTTCAGTCTTAATTTGTGTTTTTGCCTGAGTTCATTTAACTGCAGCAAGTGGATATTTTCAACTAATTGTCAAACCAAAACTTTGATGGCTGACGTGTGTGAAATAATCCATCTTGCAGCCCTAAACTTACACATTTTCAGTTCAAACTGTTGAAATGTTAATTTTGTGTGAAGCTCAGGGAGACTGTTTCTGTTGCATCTGGGATGTTTTACTCTAAGCCGTTTGTGCTATTTTAAAAAAAAACATTATTGTTAAATCACATTTAGTTTGTCATAGTTCTCACACTTGTAGTAATACATTCTATTACTACTTTTATGTTTTCTTATGATTTTCATTAAACATCACATTTTTTATTGTAACATGTACATATATTTATATTATCTGTCAGTTCAGATGGTGCAAACTGAGATTTAGTAACAGGCGATGGTTCAAATTGACATATTTTATACGTACCTAATATAGTGAGTAAAGCAAGGCCTCATGTGAAACTTTCCATCATATTTGAGGGTGAGAGCACACCGATGCTACTGCATAAATATATGTATATGGCCCAACTACTTCTGTTGGAAGTTTCTTTAAAATGTTTACTTGTTTTTTGCAAAAGATTGTTAATAGTTTTAGGGACTTTGTTTTAAACTGTATTAACGAGAGTTCAGACGTTCCCTTGAGTCATGTACCCTTGGCTTGAACAGTATGTGTGTCTGTAACTAATGTAGACATTGTATTTTGTATAAGTGCAGCACATACATTTCTTACTAAAAATGCACTTTTTTTACTAATTAAAGCAAAAATGTGGCTTGAGAAATCTGAAAACTTGGATTGATGTTCTGATTTACATGTGGTCATGTCAATGCTGATAATGAATGTATAATAAAACGTTTACCAATATTTGTCAGTCAAGAGCCAGTATTGGCACAAACCTTTTCAAGTGTTTTATTTGTACTTTTAACTTTTTTATTTACCTTTTAATCCTCTTGAGACTTTCCTCAAGTTTATACCATAATCATAAATAGTGAAAATATTGACTCATGTTTACAAGATGATAGCAAAAACTTTATCACTCAGATCAGAGTTTGCTAACACCTAAAGAAATAATGCAAATGAATAAAAGACATTTTAGCATAAAAGGTTAATTATAAGTGATTGGGGAGAAAACGATAAATCCCAAATTTGCATTAGACATACAAATGTTAAAATTAAATTGTAGTTCATAGCTGTTGTTTGTACATTTGTGTACGTCTACCATAAAGACAAAAAAAGCCGCATGTGACGTTAAAATAGCTGTATTTACCAATAAAGGAAAAATACTAGTTTCAATAATGTTTTAGATAATTTAATAATATAAATGCGTCAATTAAAGTTCGATTTGATGATAATTATATTCATTTTCCTTTTTTTCTTTTTCTTTTTTTTTTTTTTTTGTCTGAGCAAGAGAAGTAGAAACTTGCCTTCAGTCTCCGCCTTTTCCTGTGTTTCGTCCAATCACAGCAGCCCATTTGACCGGAAGTTGTGAACAAAACATACGCGGGAAATTATCATTAGTTGGACACCGGAGTAGGTAAAACACAATTTTTTAGATTATCTCAGTAAAAAGAATACTTAAAATCACACATTTGTCTTTTGAATCCCGTTTGCTCGCTTTTAAATAACTTATTTTACACATGTTTTGGGGTTTTTCCTGTTGTGTTCGCTCCGAACCCGCTAAGTTGTTTGCTAACTGTGCTAAGTAGCCTAGTCTTGCTGAAAACATCCAGCCTTTCATAATATTTAATTTGTACTTGTCCATATTTGCAGTTTGTATAATGTGTTCGCTACTTTCAGCCTGAATAATGACAATAATGTGTCAGCATCTCGTAAATGTAACTTTTATATGAACATAAGGAAAATGAAGGTAGTAACGTGTGAGATAGCATGGCACAACAAGGAGCCGGTTTACAGCCTGGACTTTCAGCACAGCTCTGACGGACGCTTTCATCGCCTCGCCACAGCTGGAGTGGACACCACAGTCAGGGTGAGCAACATCTGTTAATGAGCCACATGCAACCCGGAACTCTCTGGTATAATTTAATAATACATGGTCTCTAGTTATGAAGTTATAATTTATCTTGACTTTGCTGCAGCTGTGGCAGGTGGACACCGGTGCAGATGGAAAAGCAGCAGTAGATTTTCTGTCTAACCTGGCCAGACACACCAAGGCTGTCAACGTGGTCCGCTTTAGCCCCAGTGGAGAGCTGCTTGCTTCAGGAGGAGATGGTATGTCACACGTACACATCATCTTTAGATGCAGGGCAGAAATATTCAAATAAGTACTATTGAGATTTGTTTCTCTTCTCTTTTTAAACAGATGCAGCAATTTTCTTATGGAAACTCAATGAATCTAAAGAGCCTGAGCAAGCTCCAGTCTTCCAAGAGGAGGAAGATGCCCAGCTCAATAAAGAGAGTTGGTCTGTGGTCAAAACACTGAGGTACACAGAACAGAAAGCCACAGTGGTTTGTTAGATTTATTGGAAAGATTTGTAAAAGATCTCAAAACTATTATCAGATTAAATAATGTTGGCAGATAATCATCTAGAGCAGACATCTCCAAAGTGTGACCCTCAAAGTGATCGTGTGGCCCCAGCAGCATCTCCGACTGTCTATTGATGTGTGACTTTAACAATTTTATTTTATTTTTCTTTTAATTAAAATGCATATTTTGTGGAATTTAAATGAATAGAAATCATTTATTTATAATAGAAATCAAATTCATGCCCCTACACGCTCCCTTCGCTCAATCAATCAATCAACTTTATTTATATAGCACTCAATTCTACAATACATGCGCCCAGGGCAGGGAGGGCAGAGACTCCCACCACCACCCAGGCACACATGGAAAGCACCCAGGCCACCACAGCCGACCACCGCCGCCGGGGCAAAGGGTTCCCACAGAGGAAGCACTGGAAAAAGGTTAAATTAAGGTTAAAATATAAAATCCAAAGAGCTAAAATGAGAATTGTAATAAAAAGTTATATACATAGTAAAATATTGTTGATCATAACTCAAGGTAAAAAACTGTTTAAAAGGCACATAAAGAAAATACATTAAATAAAATAAATGGATAAAATAAATAAATTAAGTAATTAATTAATTTAAAAAGTGAGAGTATTCAGTTAAAAGCTAAGCTAAAAAGATGGGTCTTGAGCCTGTTTCTTAAACACATGAACGTTCTCAGCAGCCCTGAGGTCCCCTGGCAGCTCGTTCCAGAGGCGAGGACCGTAGTACTGGAAGGACGCCTTGCCGTGAATGTGTGTCCTAACTTTAGGGATGACAAGGAGACGGCTGCCAGAGGAGCGCAGAGACCGCGTGGGTTCATACGGTAAAAGCAGTTCTGAAAGATAAGAAGGCCCAAGACCATTAAGACACTTAAAAACCGTTAAAAGTATTTTGAAATCGATCCTGAAACATACGGAAACGCTCGGCTGATCAGGATTTGCTCATCGTCCCACGACCAAGGTTCAAAACAAGAGGTGATAGGGCCTTTTTAGTCCTTGCTCCAACACTATGGAATGAGCTCCCACCTGCTATCAAACAGTCCCCATCTCTGCAGGTCTTCAAGAGTCAATTGAAGACTCATTTTTATAGTTTGGCTTTTATATGAAATGGATTTTTAGTCTTTTATCATATCTGTCTTCTATTGTATCTGTCTCATAATTGTAGTCATTTTTAGGCGGTTTTTAATCCGTCTTTTTGTTCTTTTACTGTTTTTATGTTGTGTTCAACGCCTGCCTGTAAAGGCAGTGGAAGGCGCCATGCAATTAAAATTAGATAGATTTAAATCCAAATTAAACAGGTTTTTGCATTTTTTTCTAATAAAAGAAACAAAACTTTTGTGGCTTTTGGGGACTGTTAACCTGGCAATTTTGGCTTTCACCTTGAAAAGTTAGACGTTTGCCAGGGAAAATTGCCTCTTTGGGCTGCTGCCATGTCAATTATTCTAAAATGCAAATTATGTTATTTGTCTGCAAGTTTTTGCCACTTATTCAGAAAATAAATGTATTTGATCTATTTTTAAAGAATAAAGTGAAAGAATTTAATTTTTCTGCTCACAGAGGACACATAGAGGACGTGTATGACATCTGCTGGACAAGAGATGGCAACTTCATGGTTTCTGGTTCTGTTGACAACACTGCCATCATGTGGGACGTTAACAAAGGTTCGCAGCCTTAGTTTGGTGTTTTGGACGTATTTGTTTTCCTTCAGATGTCAAATATCTGCTTTTATTTTTTAGGACAGAAGTTGTGCATCTTTAACGACCATAAGAGCTACGTTCAGGGGGTCACCTGGGATCCTTTGGGTCAATATGTGGCCACTCTCAGTTGTGACCGGTAACTGTTGGTGTTTGAGTCATTCCTTCACAAGTCTGTTGGGTATCGCTGGGTTTACGTAACCTTTTTGTTTTCCTCAGAGCGATGCGCGTGTACAGCACTCACACGAAGAAGAAGGCCTTCTGCGTCAGTAAAATGAGCCCCAGTTCACCTGCAGAAGGAGAGGTCAGTAAAATTCTGGATTTTTACTAAATCTGAGTTCTTTTTCTTTCACATTTGATTTCCCCCCCCCCCCCTCTTGTGCATTAGTTGCAACCTTTTTGCAACTTGACTTGATATTCGTAGCATATTCCATCCTATTCTCATAAACCCAGTAATCTTTATTTCTATTTTTGGGTTTTTCATTTTCAGTTGGATACAGAAAGTTTACTTGTTTTTATAGTTAAAAACTTAAGAAATGTTGTATTCAGAGTTTTGTGAAGATGCTTAAATTTCATGGAAATGCTTGAATTTTAATGTGGTTTAATACAATCAAAACAGGCCTAAAATGCTTGAAGTGTTGATTTGATAATGGATTTATCGTTTATTTTCATTACCAGATAAAAATAATGACATTTAATTTGAACAGGACTGTTTCTGAAATTTACGTTAAAATAATTTCAAAATTTGTTGTTTGTGGGAAGATTTTTATTTTAACTTCATTTTATGGGTATAAAAATGAAAATGACCACTTGTTTTATTATCCTTGTTTTGCTGTTTTACATTTACATCTTGTAAGATAAAGATCTCAAACATTTTTAAACATGTTTAAGTTTAAAGTCTTTTTAGGACAATATGACACAAGAAAAGCTTGAACATTTACCTCAGACTGGTTGAAGGAAGCATAATTTTGACTCTGAGAGGAGATCTAATCCTTAAAACCATCTAAAAAGCTCTCCAGTTTGTAAAAACGTGTTCCTCTTCACCGTGTTTAACTGCAGTCCAAGCAGTACAGGATGTTCCACGATGACAGCATGAGGTCGTTCTTCCGTCGTCTCTCGTTTACACCCGACGGGTCGTTCCTGCTTGCCCCAGGTACAGAGACGGCACGAACCAAAATGAGATTTTATCCTCATGAAAGGATTTTTATAAACTCAGCTTTTGCATCTTTTTATTCTCGCATCTTGAACCCCAGCTGGATGCGTGGAGGTGGGAGAAAACATCATAAACACCACTTACATCTTTTCCAGGAAAAGTCTTAAGAGGTGGGATCTACAGCTCTTTCTGGTGTTTACTGACCGTTAACATCTGTAAAACTGTCTCTTTGTGTGTGTCAGACCTATCGCTCACCTGCCGTGTCCGTCTAAAGCCACGTTGGCTGTGCGCTGCTGCCCGCTCTACTTTGAACTCAGAACTAAAAGGGGAGACGGTGAGGACAAACTGGCGCTGATTGTCTCGACTATCTGGAATTATTATGTTTATCTTCAATTTTTTTTACTCTTTTTCTGCTTCAGACGGTTCGACCCAGGCTCTTCCCAACTTGTTCCAGCTGCCGTACCGTATGGTGTTTGCCGTGGCCTCGGAGGACTCCATATTTCTGTATGACACACAGCAGAGCCTTCCGTTTGGGCTGGTGTCCAACATCCACTACCACACACTCAGCGACCTGACATGGTAAACCTAAAACACCCGTTGGCCTTCATTAGGTGTGTTTAAGCTCCTATGAACCGGGCAGCCTCTTTAGTCTAGTGCTGTGTTTGTGTTCAGGTCTCGGGATGGTTCCTTCCTGGCCGTCTCCTCCACAGACGGTTACTGCTCCTTCCTGTCCTTCTCTCCAGGGGAGTTGGGCACTCCACTGAAGGAGCCCCCCACCTTGGAGGTCTTTGTCCCAAGCAGTGGTTCTGAAAAGAAAGGAAAGAAGGCATCAGGGGCTAAAAACTCCTCTCCTGTGTCCCAGACACTGAGCTCGACCCCAAATCCCACATGTCAAACCAGCTGTGGCAAGGACACCCCCTGCCACACCCCACCAGACGAAAAGAAGAGCACACCTAAAATCAAACCCAAACCCCAGCCCCGTCGGATCACCCTCAACACCCTGGAGGGTTGGGGGAAACCCAGTTCTCCTAAAACTCCCTCCTCGACTCAAACCCGAGACTCCGGTAGCGCACCCTCGACTCCCCCACCTCGCTCGGTTCCGCTCACCCCCACCAACTCCTCCTCAAAGCAGCCTCGTGTTGTTCCCCTCACTCCGTCCACACCAAATGTTAATACTGCTGGGTCCACCACCCCCAAGGCTGCAACCACCCCAAAAGGACCCACCTCAAGGTAAATACAAGCAGAAAACAATAGCGTGTTTGAACAAATTTGTCTTTGCAAAACTAAAATATCCCGCTCCATTTTCACAGCAAGGAAGTAAGGTTTCACTAAAGCTGAAAATATCCTGTAATTAAAACTAGAAGAGAACAGAGCTCGGCCCACGATCTGACCCCTGATGGGAACTGTTGCACAATCTAGGAGCCAAAAAATGCAGTCTTGGTCACCACATGTGATCAGGTCACTCATTTGTCCTGGAGATCAGTTGAGTAATCTTAAATAAATAAAAGCACTTAGAGTAAAAATCCTATTGATGATAAAACGGCTCAGGGGAACCAGGTCAAGAGTATCTAACAGTCATTGATTTTCTAATAACATTCATCATACGTGGTGTAAAAAGACTTTATACAAATACTTGAGTTATTTAAATGTGTCTGGCCGAGACAGGACACGAAGCGGTTGGTTTGCACATGCTCAGTCCTGGCTGAGTGAACAAAGCCTCTCCGCGGAGTCGTTGGACCCCCCGCTGACTATAAAATAATAACCTCTGTGGCGGACTGCTCAGACGCCACAAATGCACGTTTTTCTCCAACATGTTTATGTAGTCTGACAACAAGATGAGAGGTGATGGGAACTGTGTTTACGGCAGCAGGCTTTGATCTGTGGTTTATTTGTGTTTTCTGTTTGTTTACAGAAGAGTGTCTCTGACTCGTGTTGGACCCCAACCTTCAGCTGTTTGTTCACTTTTCAACGGTCCTTCCTCCACAGAGAAGGCCAAACATGGTTGGTCTCACTTTCTCTACAATAACTGTTTTTTTAAATATATATTTGAGTTTAGTCGGTCACTGATCCCTTCCTTTGTGTTTTTGTCAGAGCGTCCCTCTCCTCCCACCGATCCGGTGTGCCAGCCTCCAGAATCTAAACGACCCAAGACCAGCTCCAACCCACCGAAGACCGGTGTCAATAAGGATTAGTGTCTCCAGGCAGGCGATGGAGAAACCACCAAAGCTCCACGTGGCTGCAGCACAAGATTATAGAATATTGTTGTATCTTACAGTAAACTGGTAATGAGATTACTATTTTATTTGAATTTGCAACTTGTTTAAGCCCCGTTTTATAACTGAATAAGTTTGGATATAACTGGGCTGCAGGCCTGAATACAAAAAAAAAAAGTTTGTCATTTCTGTGAGTTTTGAGTAAATCTTTAATCAGCTTTGTAAATCCCACAAACAAAAACAACTTGATGCAATTACTTATTTGTCTTGCATAAAGAATCATTTTTAAATATTAAAACATTTGAATCCATAAATGGTAAATGGCCTGTATTTGATATAGCACCTTCTAGAGTCCTGGAACCCCCCAAGGCGCTTCACAACACAATCAGTCATTCACCCATTCACACACACATTCACACACTGGTGGGGATGAGCTACGATGTAGCCACAGCTGCCCTGGGGCGCACTGACAGAGGCGAGGCTGCCGAGCACTGGCGCCACCGGTCCCTCCGACCACCACCAGCAGGCAATGTGGGTTAAGTGTCTTGCCCAAGGACACAACGACAGCGACAGACTGAGCGGGTCTCGAACCTGCGACCTTCCGATTGCGAGGCGAGCACTTAACTCCTGTGCCACCTTACGCCAGGTTTGGGATAATGTGTTTCTGCCTTTAAAATTGATTTCAAGATAAAAGTCTTAAATACCTTGTGCTTTTTTAGACCCGTTGTTTTGAGGCTAAGTTTGTTTTACTTCTCAGTTGCCCTGGAGATATTCAAGTGAATTGTTTGGATTTCGTCTGTGACTAAATGGCTGAAAATGTGGCTCGCACACATTGTCCACATAACTCACGGTTGATGTATGCATGTAAACTGTTGTTGAGCTTCCAGGACAATTGTGTCATGTTACTGATGTGCAGAAGCATTAAAAAATGCAGCATTTACAATAACAAATCAGGTTTTATTATTCTAAAAAAATACATTTAAGATCTGCTGATTAGAGTTGACTAAGCCACTGGTCTGGTTCCAGTATGAAGTACTGTAGTGATGGCAGCATGTTACAGGTGGATTATTGTCCACTGGGCTCTATTAATAAGAGAGTTCAGTTTGGGTCATTAGATGCAATTTCTCAATAAAAAGCTTGTAGAAGCTACTCAAAATGAATCAAAGAACTAAATTATGATTTAACTGTTCAACCACCAGAAAACTTGATTTAAATTCTTAACTAAAATGATCACAACCAGGTCAAATATTTATGCTGAGAAATATAAATAAAAATGTTCTTGAGGATCATTAACAGAAAAGACTGAGGCTAATAGTCTCAGGTACTGTAGATGTGTTAAACTAGTACATGAGATATACACTCACTGGCCACTATATTGGGTACATCTTGCTAGTTTGGACCCCCTTTTGCTTTTGTGGCATAAATTCAACAAGGTACTGGAAACATTCCTCAGAGGTTTTGGTCCATATTGACATGATAGCATCACATGGCTGCTGCAGATTTGTCGGCTGCACATCCATGATGTGAATCTCCCGTTCTACCACATCCCAAAGATGTTCTATTGGATTGATACCTGGTGAATGTGGAGGCCACTTGAGTACAGTGAACTCATTGTCATGTTCAACAAACCAGTCTGAGATGATTGGAGCTTTATGACATGATGCATTATCCCACTGGAAGTAGCCATCAGAAGATGGGTACACTGTGGTCATAAAGGGATGGCCATGGTCAGCAGCAATACTCAGGTAGGCTGTGGCATTGCAACGATGATCAATTACTACTAAGGGGCCCAAAGTGTGCCAAGAAAATGTCCCCTACACCATCATACCACCACCACCAGCCTGAACCATTAATACAAGGCAGGATGGATCCATTCTTTCATGTTGATGATGCCAAATTCTGACCCTATCATCCGAATGTCGCAGCAGAAATGGAGACTCATCAGACCAGGCAACATTTTCCAATCTTCTATTGATCAATCTTGGTGACCCTGTGGGAATTGTAGCCTCAGTTTTCTGTTCTTAGCTGACAGGAGTGGCACTTGTGTTACCTGGTGTGGTCTTCAGCTGCTGTAATCCATCTACCTCAAGGTTCCACGTGTTCTGCGTTCAGAGATGTTCTTCTACATGCCTTGGTTGTAACGAGTGGTTACTTAAGTTACTGTTGCCTTTCAGCTCGGACCAGTCTGGCCATTCTCCTCTGACCTCTGACATCAACAAGGCATTTTCACCCACAGAACTGCTGCTCACTGGATGTTTTCCCCTTTTCTGACCATTCTCTGTCAACACTAGAGATGGTTGTGTGTGACAATCCCAGAAGATCAGCAGTTTCTGGAATACTCAAGACCAGCCCGTCCGGCACCAACAACCATGCCATATTTAGTCACATAAATCACCTTTCTTCCCCATTCTGAAACTCAGTATTAACTGTAGCAGATCGTCTTGACCATGTCAACATGCCTAAATGCATTGAGTTGCCATCATGTGATTGACTGATTAGTATCATTTGTTTTGACGAGCAGTTAGACAGGTATACCCAATAAAGTGGCCAGTGAATATATTTTAGTCATGGAGTTCCTCCAGGTTGGGTACTTGGATCAATACTCTTTACTGTCTGTTTGTTTCAATGGAGTCTAATTATGAAACATTACATGGCACATTTTTATTCTTACGCTCATGAAAGCCAGTGATATCTATCCATGATGCCTGATGAACTCAGTCAGTTAAATCAGACCACAAACACGTTTAAAATACAAAAACACCTCAATGTTTTTACATTCAGACAACCTGAGCATCTCAGGAACATGCCTTGTTGTCAGGCACGTACCCTGGTGCTTTTAACTGAACCTGCAGTTCTAAAGTAAGGATCTTTTTGACAGTCCATGTGTATTTTATGGATCTTCAGACAGATTGTGACTGTGTCTCAAGAAGAACCTTCCAGACATCCTTGGGGAGTGTACTGATGAGGATCCTTTCAGTCCTTGTACCAAAGAAGTACAAATCTGGTCTAGAAAGAGGTGCACTTCACCAGGGCTGCACTTCCTGTTAATGACTTCTGTTCTACAAATATAATTTCTTTTTGTGGATGGTGTGGTCTTCTTGGCTTTATTGAACTATGATTTTGATGGATAGCTGCTGGGATGAGAATTAGCACATCCAAATAAGAGGAAATGGGTCTTGACTGGAAAAGGATGGACGCTTTGAGAACCATTAGATTGCCTCCAGACGGTTTCCAAAGGGATGTGTTTCAGGTTTGTCCTGCCAGCAGGAAACTAACCCAGAACACACTGGAGGGATTATATCTCTAGGGTGGCTACTTTGATGTTGCTGATGTCTAAATCAGCTCTTTGTGATCATGTCAAAGAGCAAAAGCACTCTCTGTGATTTATGTGATTGAACTGGAAAATGTTTTTTCAAAATGGTAATAATCTGTGCTGCTGTTCAAAAACTCAAGTATAGCAACAGAATCAGGAACTGAAACACACAAGCAGGTGTGGTGAATACTGACGATATAGAGATGTATGATGGCAGCAGTTAGATGTGATATTAAACTAAGCAAATACTGAATTAACTAAAAGTCTGTTTGTTCTTTAAGGTCTAATTTCTATCATTTATATATTGTGCCCAAAAGTCCATTTTTTGTCATTACTATAACTTTCAACACCTTTGTCTTTTGGTTATTAAGTTCTTGTAAAATGTCATTTTTATTGCCTTTGTTAACCATGTGATTCAAGAACTCAATGGACAAACAAGAAACCATTTCATAATGGATCAAATCAATTATCTTGTACAATTAAGGCAGATTTTTTCTATATTTGTTCAGTATAATATTAATCTCTGAAATTAATGAACAATTGAAATAATTAATTGATTTGAGAAATAATTGAACATAATTCGTCCCAGCTAAATGACATGACGTTAAATCGTTGAAGATGAATATTGGTACATCTTTATGTGATCATATCTGTTATTTATTAGTTGCTAAATTCTGTCTGTTTCGGGTTAACTTGATTCAACAGCAAGTGGATCAAATACTGCCATCGTGACTGAACAACCTACCTTGCTGCTAAGGAAAGAGAACTAATGTGATTGACAGCTCTGTTGGCCAATCAGCATCCGTGTCACGAAGGCTCTTTAAAGCTTCTGCTAATGGTCTTTGTGTGAAGGCGGGGAGCATTAGGCTCGGTTAGATCCTGATTAGCAACAAACAGAAGGTTACGAGTTAGAAAAATTAGACTATTGTGCCTCCAGCCTGGCTTTGTCGCAGCAAGGGTAGGTGGAATAATGCAGGGCGCTTAAACGAAGCGTGTTTGGCGGCTTTTGGGGGAATCGGGGGGGTTATTGGCGATATTTCGAGCCGTTGCCTCGCTTTTAGGTCGTTCAAGTAGCGATGCCTGGGTGATAGCTGCGTCATCAGTTGCTTCCGACTCGACTTGGCAAAAAGAAATCACAAGTTAACGCCAGAGGCGAGGCTGCCTGCTTGCCGTCATCCTGTCAGAGAGGGCCATAATTGACCCTTGAAATACGTGGAAGACGAGCTGTAGGTGGAGGGTTGGCGGTGAAGCCTGTTTACGCATTTCTAGTGCGGACTTTTACATCACTTTAGTTGGCGCGATACTCTGCTGTTCGTATTTTTACCCACACTTGAACGGACGCTCGGAACTTAATTTGTTCACGTTTATTGTCCGGATAATGGCTCCAAAATATGGATGATTATGTTTTAAGAAGGAAGTCGAACTGCTGACATGGATAACGAGTAGCGATGCTCTCGTTGACAGCTAGTTAGCAAAAACTGTTATTGTGATCTCACTGTCACTTTAAGCGGACTTTGTTTCTGGTCAGCTGGTAAAGTTTGGCAGACTTGTCAAAGTCTTCATAACATATTAATAAAAGAGGGAAGATGGCTGGTGACTGCACCCACATCAAGCCTCGCTGCGCGGGCGCAAGCGGGTCCAAAGCCTGGCCGGATAGACACGGGGAGGGACCCGGAGGGATGGACTCTGACGGCGGGTACCCTACTGAGCGTGGGTGCTCCGCACGGTGGTCACCCAACTTTGAGATGATCGATGGGCTGCTGTACCGTAAGAAGCTGGAAAAGGGCTACGTCAACTACCGGGAGGTTTTGAAGGAGGACCGGAGACTCGAGGCCATCTCCACCTTCCACCGGCGGAGGCTCGGCCAGCGCCACCTCTCCCTGGAGGAGACCTATAAAAGCGTGGCTGAAAACTACTGGTGGGAGGGTAGGTACACCAGATCTCCCAGGACATCCACACTGATGGTCTGATGTCTTCTTTTAAAATATTTCACCCACAGTGTGTCTAAGTATGAGTTATGTAATCACTCCATTTATTGTTACTAAACTATAAGTTGATCAATTACTGATCAGTTCATAAAATATAATTATCAACTTGGCTATATTGAAAGGTATTTCTGGCTAATTTTGAAATAAATTTCTCCATGAAGCTTACACAGCAGTGATACTAACTAGATAAAGTTACTTCCCATCATGGCACTAAAATAAGTTAAAAAAAAAGTTAAAAGTTTCCATTCAAAAAATTAATTTAAAATGCAGTATTTGGCTTTACTGGCATTTTATCTTATTTTACTTTTATTTTACTGTAGTTTATCTGGCGTCCTACTTTGTTTATGCAACTTTGACATACAGAGCAGTCTCACTCCAAATCTGTCAGAAAAACATAACATTTTTTCACATTTAAGCCATTTGGTTAACTAGCTTTCTATAAAAATGAGAAATGGTTTACTGCATAGAGCTGACCAAGAAAGCGTGTTTTTTTATAGCAACGTAATCCATTCATCCTTTTTTTGGCCAACATTTAAAAAACACCTGGCTTAGAGAACTTAAAAAAATAAATACTTTTGTTTCCTTTTAGTAAATATTTGTCTGTAGTGAGCGGCTGTAGCATCTTTGGTTTCGTGCTTAATAATTGGCCTGGTATGCACAAGCATGGCCAGTAAGCTTATGTTTTAAAACTGGCAAGTATTGGCTACTTAAGTTGTCTACCTGTTTTTTAAAAAAAATATGCAAAATGTTGAAAAAAATGTGACAAACGAGACCCTAACATGATGAGGTGCAAACCAGGTCTCACAAATTAATATTCTGCATAAGAAGAAACATTAAGATAAACAAGAATGAAACTGACCCAAATCATGACCAATGTGAGACAACATAAAGCTGTAAACAGAAACCTGTAATATGAAGCTTGCTAGGACTGGGAAAACAAATAAACAATTTAATATTTTAAAAGAATTTTTTTTCTATGTCAGCCTTTAAAATGGTACTTTTTTTTTTTTTAAATTTATTTAAGATCTGAGGTTTCTTTGGTTTTCTCCACAGGAATGTACTTTCAGATCAGAGACTTTGTCCTCAGTTGTACCGATTGTCAGAGTCAGAGCAGTAAAAAGTCAAAGGTAAGGGACAGATGACCCCAAAGGCACCGTTGTTTCCTTGTCAAACTTTATCTACCTCTTTTTGTGTTTTTACCTGTGCTTAATTTTTCTGGTTTTAGTTCATACTTTCATGCTCATTCTCACTTTATTTTTCTCTCATACTTCACTTCAGCAAGTATTTTCTCATGTTCCATTTCTGTAATGGTAGTTATTTTATTTTTGTCTCTCGCCGTCTGTTCCTCTCAGGCGTTTGACGGGAGAAGACGCGTCACGAAGACGATGCCATCGCACGGCGCAGATGTTCTCAGCAAGCTGAGGAGCCAGAGGGAGGCGGGGCTTTTCTGTGACATCACTCTGCAAACGAACGGACAATCGTTCTCGGCCCACAGAGCAGTTCTGGCAGCCGTCAGCGATCACTTTCAGGAGCTCTTCAATGAAATGGATTTGAGCAAGAAAGCAGACATAGATCTCACTGGTAAGAGCAAAGTAAATGTTACATGCATGGTGCTTAAAGTAAATCTCTTCAAACTTGTGATAACGTTATACATCCTGCTGGTCCAGTGAGTGGTTTCCCCTGACTTTGTCAGGACCTGCACTCAACAGATACAACGCAGTTACAATGTTATCCAACCTCTGTCCACACGACTGAAATGTTCAGTCCCGTATTGTCAACCGCAGCATTCGCTGTGTTCTCAGTCTGTTATGTCCATTTGGGGTGCTCGTTTTTTCTATTTTTACCCTGTTAACCTGTTACCTGCAGCAGACTAAAGCTACATGAGCCACTAGTAGCTTTTGTCTGGCTGCTACAGAGCCGTGTAGCTCTTTACTTTATATCGAGGTTTTATTAATGCCATTCTCAAATGTCCATTGAGAACATTTTTTTTAAATATGTATTGCTATAGTTTATCGCCCAGCCGTAATTCAGATAATTCGACGTTCAAAAATTTTTAATCTAAAAATATTTCAGAGCACAAAACCCTCTATTTCAGATATGAAAAAAGCATAAAATCAGATCAAGCACAGTTTTTATTTATCCGTTTTATTCACAATCACTTTTTACTCCATTAACTCATTCACTGCCAGCCGTTTCCTGATCACTAACGGCCTTCGCTACCAGCGTTTCTCACCGTTTTTACTGTTTTTTTTTAAGAGTCACAGAACGTTGCGCGCTAGCATGATGTCGATGCCAAAACAACCAAAACAAAGAGGAGACTCACCTCTTACATCAGGAAGAAGCCGCGTGTTTCGAGCGTTATCCGTTCTTTCATAATCTGTTGTCGAATTGTGATCGGCAGGCGCTTTTCTGGTTCGCGCCTCACTTTTTTTTACAGGAACAAAACGATCTCCAAACACATGGATGTGTTGCTTCCTGATCATGTGATCTGTGACGTATGCGGATGAAGATCGGCTTCAGGGCTGAGATGTTTGTTCTCTCAGCACGGGGGCTCGTTCCGATGCTCAAACAGTAAAAAAATGCAAATGACGACTTTAGTCGTCAATGGCAGTGAATGAGTTAAGCATAATTGTGATTAACTCATTAACTTTCATTTTTTTTACTGGGCGGGCGTCGGAACGAGCCCCCGCACCGTGAGAACAAACATCCCAGCTCTAAAGCTGGTCTTAATCCTCGTACGTCACATGTCATGTGACCAGGAAGCAGAAAATCCATGCGTTATAAGATCATTTTGGGCTGCTGCTGTGAAAAAAGTGAGGCGCAAACCGGAAAAGCTTCTGCTGCTCACAGTTGAACGGCTCATGAAAGAACGGAGAACACTAGAAAGACGCAAATTCTTCCTGACACAAGTCTACTCTTTGTTTTAATAGTTTTGACGTTGACATCATCATAGAGCAGTGACTCTTCGAAAACTAGCAAAAACACTTAAACGACTGGCAGTTAATGAGGGGAATAAAGGTCTCACTGGTGGAGGTACGATGTTACGATTCACCATGGCAACACTAAATAAAGGGCACAACCTTTAATGCAGACCCTGAAGCAGAAGTGAAAACGTGTGTTTTGTTTGTTTAGCATATGTAAAGTAGAATGATTCAGAAAAATAAAATATTACATAAAATTTATTTTTTCTTTAACCCTCTCAGGCTCAATAAGTTTTGATAAAAGGACGAACAACTAAGTCCTTCAGGGTACTTCTGAGTTATAAAATGCTCATGAAATACGTATGTGGAGTAACCAGGTAGGTAGGAGTTAACGTTGCTAATCTGCAACGCCTGCCTCCAGAGGGTTAAAGGACTTATGGGCTCGATACATGGGAGGCCTCTCCTCCGTTCTCCCTCCTACTAAGCGAAACGCGAAAAACGTGTGTGAAATTTTGTGCACGTGCACGTGTCGTGCACAGGCGACCCAGTGACGCGATCCCAGAAAGTTGAATTATTTTCAACTTTTCATCGCTGTCTCTCGAACGAGGACCAATCAACGGAGGTTTCGTTCACTGACCAATGAGGGGGCAGGATGCTCCGTACATCTCCGAGCAAACGTGAAGGAGAAGTTGATACTTGCTCGTTTTATTTTTTTTAATATATTTAGTAAAATCAGAAGTAAGATTTCACATAACTCTAGCAGCACCTTGTGAAACATCATATTTACAGCTTTATTAACTCTGAACCGCTTAAATAACCTTAATTCCCTCCAACCTGACACAGCCGATCAAAACAACGGAAGATTCGATTTCGCCATGGAACAGAACGCGTAGACGGCTTTGCCGCTGGTCGCCTCCCGTGTGTCAGGTAATAAAAGCGACAACGGCGAATTTCGCTGATCGCGGTCATTTGTCGCCGTGTATCGAGCCCATAATAGGGATGAACAGAAACAAAAAATCTTGGTCGAAAATCGAAAAAAATTATGTCAATAATTAGATCTATAGCATTAGAAGGACCTTAAAATTAACCTTTTATAGTCACAATTTTGCGTTTAATGAGCCACAACTGCAAATATCCCTCATTAAGTTATTACTTTACACCAGAAGATAGTGGAGATGTGTAACTTCAATCCGAGCAACACTTTTGGGTGTTTTTCTATTGAAATTTTCGGAGTTTATAAAGTTTGTAAAGTGCGCCTCATCTGAGGATCACGAGTGAGGGAAGGAGACGAGCGGAGCACAGAGGGCGGATATTATATATCGGAGAGGAGAAACTAACACGTCTGTCTTGTCTGGTAATGCCCGAGTCTGATTCTGAAGAGTAATATTCACCCTCTGATGAAGATTTTCACTCAATCAGTGAGGAAGAAGATGATGTCTGTGTGCTTCATGAGAGTAAACACGCTTCACTCACATGATCTAAAGCTTATTTCACCGTGTTCAGGACATGGTGGGAGTAGAAGGGATGGTAGAAACACCGCTAATGGTGACAGACGTAGCGGGAATGTAAAAGAAGGAAAAACAAACGGCAGGCAGACGCGGTAGATAGGCGTCACATCATTGATATGAATATTCCAGGGTTTGTAATAAATCAGAATTACTAAAAGAGGAAAAACTTTACTTTTGAAGTCGGTATGAATGTACTGTTTTTATAAAGTAAAGAGCAAGATGAGGCATGAGGGATGAAACAAAAACGGGATTCACCCGACGGCCTGTTTCGGCTGTGTTGTTTCAGTAAATTTGGTGTTTTGACCGAAAATACACTTGTGGGTTCTTTTTGGCTGAAAATTTTTGGTGGGCGAATTTTCTGTGCGTCCCTAATAAATAATAGATGTGCAGCCTTACCTTGCGTAGTGTATAATTGGTAGTAATTATTTTTTCAGCTCGGTTTGACTGAGTCACACTGTCGTATCTTGAGCTTCAGTTTTGTTGTGGACATTTATTTACTCACCAAACGTGTGCCTAGATCTTGTTCCTGAACACTAAACGCCTACGTTCGAGCTGCCGTCCGATTTTTCTGCCTGAATAAAACCTTCTTTTTCCTTTCAGGTTTTAGCGAGGATGGTCTTTTGTCCCTGCTGGATTTCTCCTACTCCTCCACGCTTTGTGTCCGTCAGGAAGACTTACCGGAAGTCTGCGCTATGGCTCGACACCTGGGAATGTGGCCGGCAGTGGAAGCCTGCTCAGCTCTTCTTAAGGAGCAGGAACAGCAGTTCCATCCTGGCAAGGCCTTCGCATCAGCCTGTTCCGGTTCATGCTGCGAACGTCATCACCAGAGAAGAGGAGAGGTTTTGGAATTGGACAGCATGAATGAAAGCTTTAGTTTAACACTCGATACGTCGGAGGAGTCTTTACACGAAAGTCCCAGGCGAAATTTGCGCCACATGCCTAAAAATCAAGACCAAAATGGCCTCCCTTTAAGTCCCTCGCACAGGATGAAACTCATGGACTTCAAATCTCCGTCCTCCAAAAAAGCAAGTACGCCCCGTCACGGCGTTGCCACTTCACAGAGTTACTCACCCATGTCGCCGTCAAACACCCGTCTTCTCCGTTCTTCTCCCAAAGCTGCCAAGGAGGTTCAGCGATGGCTGCCCGTGCCAGAGACCCCTCGACGAAACAAAAGGTCTCACTCTATCGCCCAGCTCTCGTGCTCCCCCAGGTCGAGGCCAGGCATTGCCTGCAGCCCAGTGAGAGTCAAACAGGAAGTGCAGGAGGTTGGGGAGGATGAGGAGGATTATGAAAGAGCACAGGAGAAGTACAAGCTCATGAATGTCCTGGGCTTACAAAGGACTGCTCTGCTTCCTAGACCAGAGGACCTCATTGGCTGGAGGCAAAAGAAACGCTTAAGGAAATTAAAGGCCAACAATTATTCTCTGACCAAACGACGGAAACCCCGTTCATCGTCCCCAGGACTATCATACAAAGATATGACCCTGTCACTTCCTCTTTGTAACCCCGTCAATACCCGACTCCTCAGCAAGTGTGCCAACACCAAACCTCTGGGTTCAGCTGGCACAAAGCAGCAGATCCCAGTCAAGAGGCGAAAAACTGCCCAACTCGTTCCGCCGACGGACCGCAGCATGAGAAGTAAAGGGGTCTTGCCCGACCTGTTCCAGCACACGTCCAGGCCCGCCTTTGTGGGAAGAGAACTCAGACGCTCTGTGAGGAAGGGGGACGCTGCCCGCCGCCATTCGCAGCAGTCTTTGAGGCGCAGCTCCAAAAAAAGTCTTGTGAGGAACACACCCAGGATCAAAGCAGAACCTGTGGAACACTCTGTCTCAGATGTCAGACTGTCATCAAACTGTTGCTGTGACAACAAACCGTCAATGTCCGTACCCTCACCGAGGACGCAGCTCAGAAACCGGGTCGCTGTAGACACCGTTAAAACTCTGCGTTACAACAGAAGCCGACCGGTCACCAAAGCCAAGCTCAGGAGGGGTTTCACAAACGAGGTGGACAAGACAAAGTGCAAGTCTAGAGAGGACGGAAGAAAAGGCCTGAAGAGGGTCCCCGGCACTGGACCAAAAGTGAAGAAGACCGAACCTAACGGGCTCCAGTTTTCAGAACGCGCTCCTCCGCCATCAATTTACAATCACCCTCTGTACAGGGCCATCAAAGAGGAGCCAGCCGAGCCCGTGCCGGTCGCACCTTTCCTTGATCCTCCCTCACCAGACCTGGGCAAACGCCAGAGCAAGCCCCCCATCAAACTCCTGGACTCTGGCTTTCTGTTCAACTTCTGTCGGCCAGCAGGGGGCGCTATGGCCACTCTGAAGAAAGAAGAGGAGAGTGTCGATATCTGCTTAACACGATCTGTGTCACAGGTCGAAGGGACATTTGAGAGTGAAGAGTCCCCCCATCGGACACTGAGGGCCAGAGGGCCACCTGTCCTCCCCGTGAAGAGAGAGAGGGCGGAGAGGAATGTGACCCAAGGCGCGGCTCAGAGACCCAGGCTAAAGTCCCAAAGGCCCACATTACACCTGGACAAATGCGCTGCTTCAAAGACCACACAGACCTTGCCAAAGGTAGATAATAGAAAATGTTCATGGAAATATGATCTAAATGATCATTCAGCCAGTAAAACATTTATATTAGAATTTACTTGATGCCTTATTGTACTCCTGTAATAATCTAACCTCCACGTCCATTTTTAGAGACAAAGCAAAGTCGTTGCGCTGAGCAGCAGGAGCTGCGTCCTGCTGGATGCTGTACAACGAGCGCGTCTACGGCAGCTTCGGGGGCCTCGTAGTCAAGCACCCAAAGGTCCAAAGGCCACTCACTCCTGTCTGCAGTGCTCTGCCACCTACAAGGACTGTGATGCCCTCACTATGCATCAGCTGAGGCACGTTGATGGAAAGCACTGGCCCTGTCCGGTAAGAGAAGCACTTCCAGGACTTTATTGTCACCATTGACCTTTCAGCAGCCCTGGGATGGATTGTCAACTTGTCTAGGGTGTCTCCTGCGTGATGACCTAAACTATCCCTGGGCAAGACACTTAACCCAACTTTCCTGCTTGTGGTGGTCAGCGGGACCGGTCTCGCCTGTGCTCGGCGGCCTTGCTGCTGTCAGCGAGCTCCAGGGCATCTGTGGCTACATGGTAGCTTATTAACATTAACGTGTAACAAATGAATGATGCACTGTAGTAGGTCTGCGCAATATGTCGCAACTGTATCGTCATCGCGTTATCGGCGTGCGCAGTACGCATATCGCAAAGAACAGAAAAAAATTGCAATGAATGGTCAGCTCAAATGTTTGCTACACATAATGCATTTTGTCAAACAGAAGCCGGACGTTTTTGACCAATCAAATAAAGCTCTTCACCCATTTGGCCAATCAGGTGGGTTCTCATAGGTTAGATGCCCGCCCCCGACACTTAACTTGGATGGTTAGCAAACACCTGAGTTAGCTTCGTTCTGCTCGTTCTGCTTTTCCCAGGATCCACTGGTTGCCTTTTCTTGTTCATTTTCTTTTCCTCTTTCCTCGTATCTATCTCTTGATCACAATTTTTTCTTTTCCCATTTTTATTGATATTTTTTAGTCATTTAAAAAATTTAATTTCTTTGTTTTTTATTATTTTGTGCCTGAGTTAGGTTTTTATTTGTCGCAAGTCATATCGCCATCACAATATTAATCACTGTTATCGTGCATCGCAGGTTTTCCTAATATCGTGCAGCCCTCAATGTAGTGTGGCGCTTAAGAGCCCTCTGACTCTGAAAGGCGCTATGCGCGAGTCATTTATCATTATCGTTTACCTTGACTTTATTTTATTTTTTTAGCATGGAAACACGATAATGCAACCAAATAATTAACTAATCATCTTGGAATCAATCTAAATCTCTGTGATTATTGACTTTTCTGCAGCTCTGTAGCAAGACGTTCTTCAGACTGAGGAATGTAAGGAATCACATCCGCACCCACGACCCCAAGTTGTACAAATGCCGGAGCTGCATAGCTGCCGCCTCCTGAGGCAGCTGGAGGCGCCTGCTCCGTTACAGACACCGAGGTTGGTGAACGCGATACTTCACTAGACTAAGCTGCCCGTCCATCACATCTACACCAGCTGTCTTGTGTGAAGATGATTGATTCTTACCTTTGTTCTTGACACTTCTTGCTATAAATATTTCCTCGGAGCACCTTTTTCACTAAAGCTTTTTTTCCTCCTCTCCAGGATGAAGGCTGTGCGTGTGTCACCAGCAGCTACCAGGCCGAAGCAACTAGGAGCTTGTACATAGGCATCTCATCACGTCCGAAGCACAACGGTCTGTGGAAAGGCATCAACGTGTTTAGATCCCGATTACAATGATTGCCAATATTATTTAAATAACCAAACCAAGGTTCCTGTTTTCTTCCCAGTTGTGGCAGAAGGTTAAACTTGAATGTTCCACTCAGGGGGAGGGGGGTGTCTGACGCCACAGTTGTTTTTAAAAAAAAACAAACATGTAAATTGATTTCTAAAATGGTTACTTATCGTTACTTTTATTTTTCTATGTATAGATGAACGTCGAGTGCACTTATACTCCTAGATTAAGTTTGAAACCTAAGAAATGACAGAAGTTGAAGGTTTTGGAGGCGAGAATGCTTTAAATCATTGGAAGTGCTTGGGGTGGGGGTATACTTGAAGTTAGGAAGGTGGAGGTCCGTAAGAAAGAACCGGTCCTTTTGAGTGTCCCTGTGCGTCTTGATTTCCCTTCATGTGCTAACTTTTAAATGACTTGATGATTAGTCCTTCCTTAATGTTGATCTGCTCTCACCCATGGGGGGGCGGGGCATGTTGACACCACTGCAGGTGTTTTTGCAGGTCGCTTGTTGTCCACTGTCTTTTCTAAGGCTGCGGGGTTAAAAAGCAAAGAAAAAAAACAAAACAAAAAAAAAAAAGAAGTGAAAAGTGTCTTGTTTTTAATGTGAATTTCTAAATATTCGAGACAACTTTATTATAACAAATCTTTTATCAATCTCCTCTCCCTCTTTAATGCAGGACGAGATCATCTCTTAATTAAAATTCTACTGAGTAAATGCAATGTGCACATACAGATGTTTATGTATTACAAATTGAGTTTAGAAATTAATGGGCTGTCCTTGCTGTTAAAATATTGAATAAATTTTTGCCTTTTATGACTTTGTTTTTATTTATTTTTTACAAAATTATTCACTTTGCATCAAGTCATGAATTGCTATACACATCATTTAAAGGCAGTTAAGTTAAAGTAGTTTCTTTATGATGGAGAAACTTAACTCTTTGGTGCATTTGCAGTAGCTCTATCCAGACAGAAGCTGGTGAGGGACAATCACTATTGCTATGTATTTTTACTGTTTGAGCGCAATAATACCAGAGTTGTTTGGATATTTTATGGTAAGAGAATTCACCTCATTTATGAAGCATTTTGCTGATTGAGTCTAAAGCAATGCTGCTGAAATTTTGTTTCTGGTAGGAAATCTGTTATTTTACTTTAATTCATGCTCAGTTTTTCATTTAGAAAATCCAGTATAAACATTTGTGAATGTCTTGAAAGATGAAGTTCCCACTCAAAGGCTGCTGGGGAAGATCAAACAGTTGTGTTCGGAGCTGGAGCGTTTGCACAAATGATCCTGAGTAAATAACTGGAGCTCCGACCGCTCAGCAGCTCTCGCCGCAGTACGCACCAGGAACAGCGACGAACCCATCTGTAATGAGTACGATCATTAAAGTAGATGGGGGGAAGAGAGGATGGCCTTTATCGTTTTGTGTTGCAATCTGTGCAAAGCAGCACAATTTACATTCACTCATCTTCATCCTTTAAGTATTCACAACACTGAGGAAAAGTACAGATATGGATCAACATGCAAGACAGCATTAGAAATTAAGACATGACAGATGGTTTAAAACCTGCAGTGGTGTGTCTCAGTATCAGCAATTCATATTTTCCCATTTTATATGTTGATTTTTTTCTTCCAAAT